CATTTAGATTTGTATCCAAAACTTTCAAGCATGGTTGCAAGTTACATGATCCATGGTCCATGTGGAGTTGCAAAATTCAATTCACCTTGGATGAAAGAAGGTAGATGTTCAAAATATTATCCTAAGAAATTTACATCTTCAACTACTATAAATGAAGATGAATATCCATCTTATAGACGTCAAGATGATGACATATTTGTTATAAAACATGAACTTAAACTAGATAATTGTAATGTTGTTCCTTATAGTCCACTTGTTTTGATGAGGTATCAAACTCATGTTAATACTGAATATTGCAACAAGTTAAATTCAATCAAGTATTTATTTAAACATGTCAACAAAGGATCAAATAGAGCAACAATTAACATTAATAGTAATTCTGCAGATTCTACTAATTCATAAGTTGTTAAGAAAAATAAAAGATACTATGATAGTAGATGCTTATCACCATCTTAGGTAGTTTGGAGAATTTCTAGGTTTGATATTCATCATAGAAGACCATCTGTGCAAAAATTGACATTTCATCTCATAAGTCAATAATCAATTTTTTTTAAAGATGATGACCATATTCATGTCATCTTGAATTCTAATGAAGATGTTCACACAATGTTCACAACTTGGTTTGAGGCTAATAAAATGTTTGTTGAGGGAAATAACCTAACATATGCTGAATTTCCAAGTAAGTTTGTATGGATGCCTCAACAGAGATAATGAAAACCAAGAAAGCAAGGATATAATATTGGATGACTTACTTATGTTCCTCCAGGTTCTAATGAGTTATACTATATGAGGATATTGTTAATAATACAAAAAGAATACATTGATCATGATAACATAAAGACAGTTAATGGGATAACTTACCAAACTTATCAAGATGCTTACTATGGTTTGGGACTATTGACAAATGATAAAGAATTCATTGATGCAATTAATGAAGTAAGTAAACTTGTTTCAGACAATCAATTGAGAAAGTTGTTTGTTACATTATTAGTGATGAACACAATGTCTGAATCATATGTTGTTTGGAATTCTACATGGAAATTGTTGGCAGATGATATTTTAAACTAAAAAAGAAAGGAGTTAAACTTACTAGTTATACAAATTTTTTATTTGTAAATTTGTAAGTTTTAATCACTTATTTGATTGTTTATAATGTTACGTTATCTTCCAATACAAGTTTTCAAATTGAAAAATCTGAATTACATAATTTTTGTTTCTTGCGAGTAGATGAATTGCTTATGTCAAATAGTAGGTCTTTAAAAGATTATAGTTGTTTACCTCAACCTGATTTTTTAGATTCATTCATATTTAAAAATAAGTTTATTATTGATGAGTTTAATTACAATAAGTAAGAAATGGATAAAGTATATTCAACATTGTTCCAATCATTAACTCATGAACAATTATGTGTTTATGAAAATATCATAAGAATTGTATTTTTAGACAAATGAGGGCTTTTATTTTTGTATGGATATGGTGGTACTTGTAAGACATTCCTTTGAAAAAACTTTATCAACTGCCATTAAGTCTAAGGGAATGATTTTTCTTAATGTAGCTTCAAGTTGAATTGCTTCTTTGTTACTTCCTGGAGGTAAAACAACTCATTCGACATTTTGCATGCCATTATTAATTAATGAGGAATCAACCTGCAAATACTTTAAAGAAGTGTTCGAGCTAAAATTTTAATGGAAACAAAATTGATTATATGGGATGAGGCTCCAATGATTAATAGACTATGCTTTGAAGCATTTGATCAAACATTGAGGGATATTATGAAAGTAACAAATGTAGAGAATCATAATAAACCATTTGGAGGTAAAGTTATTGTGTTGAGAGATAATTTTAGGCAAATTTTGTCGATTGTTAGAAAGGAATCAAGACATGATGTGGTGAAGTCATCTATAAATTATTCTGAAACATGGACAAATTGCAAAGTTCTAAAGCTTAGAAAGAATATGAGGCTAAATACTGCAAAAACAAATGAAAGTGCAAAATATATAAAAGAATTTGTTAATTGGATATTAAATATTGGAGATGGAGATATGCCTTTGAATAAAAATAGTGAAGGATATATTGACATACCCAAATATCTTTTAATGGAAGACAATGAAACACCTTTACTTTTATTAGTTAATTTTGTATATCCTCATTTTGTGTATAACATGATATCTGTTAGTAATTTTGATGATGGGGTCATACTTTGTCCTACTATTTATGCAGTTGAGGAAGTTAATAATTTTATTTTATCTTTGATTTCTGGTGTGTCGATCAGACGAGGGTCAGGAAACGCAAGGTGAATGATTTACATATGAATTCTTAATAACATTAAATGTTCAGATATTCCAACTCATTGACTTAGATTAAAAGTTGGTGTTATCGTAATATTATTGAGAAACATTAATCAAACAAATGATTTATGTAACAGAACAAGATTGTAAATGAATGATTTGAGAAAAAAAAATGTCATTTTAGCTTGTGTGATTACTGAAAAAAAATATTAAAGATAAAATCTTTATACCAGTAATGAATTTGATTACTTTTGATCCTAAATTTCCTTTCAAGTTTTAAAGAAGATAATTTCAGTTATCATTGTATTTTGCAATGACAATCAATAAGAGTCAAAATCAATCACTTTCTAAAGTTGGACTTCATCTTCCGCGTCCAATGTTCACTCATGGTTAATTCTATGTGGTCATTTTCAAAGTTAAAACAAAGAAAGGACAAAAAAATATTTATATTGGATGAAGAAAGAAATATAGCATCATGTACTAAAAATATAGTGTATAAATTTTTTTTTTTGAAAACCTTTGACTAAAAACTACATATTTACTTTATTTATTTCTTATACTTTTTCTTAATTATTTATACAGATTTATGATATTCATTATCACTTTAAAATTATGCTCATTTAATTATCATGAAATTATATGATTAGTAAGTTTTATTAACAATCATATAATTATTTTACAAATTATAATTTGTCAAACTTGTTTTTTTTTTCTTTCTTCATTATTTAATTGAAAGATATAAATTGTGTACATGCAATATATGAAATTTATAGATTATTATACTAATTTATTTTTGTCTGTTATTGTTGCATATTATACAAATATGTTACAATATATAATAGAAATCAATAAAGTATTTTTAAAATTTTGTATTACATAATTTCATCGAATATATCTTTTATTTATTGTAAAAAATTTTATTTTATACAATCTTTTTTAATATAATTTTTTTATTTAAAATTTAAAATAATTTATAACATTATTTTTTCTTATTAATATTAAAGTATTATTTACTATTAATAGAAAAATTCCAAAAATATAGTGAATTGCACTGTTATGATACTAGTTTAACACAAAAGAAAGTGCAAGCAGCTTCAATATACAAAAGAAAGTGCAAGCAACTGAACTTAAGCGACATGAAAGATGGAACCACTTATTCTCTATCAATATCGAAAATATTTGTGGAATCATTAGACACATTGCTTGCATGCATATCCAATTTTTTTATTTTTTTTCACTCGATGAAGTTATTATTAATCCATTCAGTTATTAACATATATGTATTTTTTTAGACTCATTGACATGTGTTATTTCTTTTACAATTTATTTTTTTATGACAAAAAAATATTAGTAACAAAAAATAGCAATAAATATGTGTTTTTTTATTATGACATCACATTTGTTTAATTTATAAAAATTGATATAATTCATAATTAATAATTATGCCATGAGTAGAAACTTTTTCTAAACAAAACATTTTCCGAAAACATTACTCAAATCAAATCCCTCCTCAAATATTTATACAAGAGACCTGGTCAGCTTAAAATTGGCGTTTTCAAAAATATTGAGTTCTTTAAAATAATATTTAAAAATAAAAAATTGAATTTTATTTATATAAAATTAATAATATAACTTAAATTAATTATATTTAAAAATATAATTTATAATTTAATTAATTGTAAATTTAATAATATATTATGTTCATAAAGTAGTAAACTGAAATTTAATTTACATCTTTTTATTTTTTAAACTTTTTTTTATGTTTAATAATTTTAATTTTTTAAAATTTATTTAGAAAAATAAATATTATTTATTATGACGTGAGAATTAAAATATTAGGCTGATTAATGTAATAAATTGTTTTTCATAAAACAAATTTTCTTTTAAGTTTATTAATATAGTTGACTAAAATAGTCTATTTAAATCTCAATATTTTTTGGTCTGTTTTTAGGCTGATTTTTTTGTACCTTGCTTTCATATAGTAATATTCTTATTATTGAATGTAATTTACCGTGTTTGTAATTTGTAGGCATTAGATTATAAATTATATCTTAAAATTGAAGACAAAAAATTTTATATAAAAAAAACGTCGCTTGTTAATTTTTTTAAGTTAATTTTTTCCTTTTTAATTTTTCTTTATAATATTCAAATCACTAAATCTAATTATGTTATTTACGAGTTTACAAACTCTGTAAAAAAATTTAAATAGTCTCTTAAAAATAAAAACACGAAGATTAAATTGGTTAAATGGTATTATTTAACAATAATAATAATAAAACATGAAATACTACATCTCTCTGCCCTGAAACTAAATACAACAAATATATTTATAATACATAATTTAAATTTATTAATTTTAGATGTTAGTTCTTAAAAACAATGAATATAATATATTTAATATTATAAATATATGATTATTTTTAAATTAATATTTCAATAATATAATTTAAATTCATTAATTTTTAAATGTTTATTTTAAAAAATAAAATTTAAATGTAATACATTTTTAACTATTTTTATAAATTTATTTATAAATACAATGTATTTATACGTATATTTGTAATAATATATAAATATTTTTTAAAAATATTATTGAAATAAAATAAGAAAATCATATTCAGAATTTAGTTTTTTTGGAGTAAAAGAAAATCAGGTTGTGTAAATATTTGTTGAAGAATTTGATTTTGATAATTTTTTTTGGGAAAAAAAAAAATGGTGGTGAGTGAGAAAAACCCCTCTTGGTTAAAGTCGCCAAACCCTGTTCCCCCTACTCATTTCTTACATTCAGTGGTACTGAGAGAGGTTGAAGGCGGCGTGAGAAGAAGCATGTTGGACATCAACCTTTTCAGGGAGGAGAAGGGACATAACCCTGAACTCATCCGCGAATCCCAACGCCGTCGTTTTGCCCCCGTCGAAATCGTCGACGAGGTCATCAATCTCGACAAAGAATGGCGAAAGCGTACTCTTCTCTCCTTCTCTCTTCATTGTAACAATCTAACCAATCGAATATCGCACCAATGCTCTCTCTTATGTGCGTTTTTTCAGGTCAATTCGAGTTGGAGAATCTTCGCAAGGAATTTAACAAGATCAATAAGGAAGTCTCCAAACTCAAGCGTGTAAGTATCTTCATTTCCGCTTTTCTGTGTTTTTCGTTTAATTAAGATGCTAATTCTGATTAGTTTCATTTTAATGCTGTTCTGCGTTTTAGGCTGGTGAGGACGCTTCTAAGGTCATTAGTGAATCGGAGGAGACGAAGAAATTGATCGCTGAGAAAGAGGTTGAAGTTCGGGAAACACTAAATCTCTTGAATTCCAAGTTGGAAACTATTGGAAATCTCGTCCACGATTCCGTTCCAGTCAGCAACGATGAGGTTTTTTTTTTATATCTTTTTTTATAATGATTGTTATTATTATTTTACTTCTGTATGAGCTCAATGCTCGATTTAAAATTCCGGAGTCTTCTATGTTTTAGGCCAACAATGCTGTGGTTAGATCGTGGGGGAGAAAAGAGTGGAGCCTAAACTAAAGAATCATGTGGATCTAGTTGAGCTTCTCGGGATAGCAGATACAAAGAAAGGTGTGGATTTATTCATAGTGTTCAAGTGATGACATTTATTTTACTTATTTCTGTGAGTGACGAGCATTTGAATTTAACTTTTTGAAGTGATGTTTTTCCCCCAACACTTTTTCTCCTCTTAGTCTACTTTCTGAACTATAACAGTTTGTATGATTGGTTTAGCTATTGGACTAGTTCATTTTTTTTGTCTGCTGACACGATCTTGATTGCGGAAGGCATGTGGCACAAAAATCTAGTACTGTAGAATACAATGGAGCACTGTTAAATTTCAACTGTGCCAGACAATGCTTTCCATAGTTTATGCATTTCTGCTCCTATTTTTTATATGCTTCCAGTGGTGGAGTTTCTTGGTAGTTCCCCTCAAGTTTTGTAACTTCCACGATCATTAAATATACTTGATTGTATATCTATAATTTTGATCTTTCACCTTTTCATATTTTTTCACTTTTTTGTATTTATTTATTATTTATTAATAATATATTATTTGGTCTTCCAAAATTATTAGTATTGCTAGCATCCTAATCTTTTTTGTCAATTTGCTTGATACATAATAGGAGCTGATATAGCTGGAGGTAGAGGTTTCTATCTCAAAGGAGATGGTGTTCGTCTTAATCAAGCTCTTATCAACTTTGGGCTTGATTTTTTGGAGAAAAGGGATTATACTTTATTGCACACTCCTTTCTTCATGAGAAAAGATATAATGTCAAAGTGTGCTCAATTAGCCCAATTTGATGAAGAACTGTATAAGGTAAAATTTAGTAAATTTTGTTACCTGCCTATATCCATATGCAATTTGTAATTTTTAAGACTTTGATGAATACTCTTGTATTCTATGACAAACAAATATGTTCATATTTACTTTGTTGAATAATAACCAAAATCTTTTAGTGACAAAAACTGCTAATAGCCTTTTTGTTTTGTATCATTTAAAGTTTTAATGCTTACGTGATGTTTAGTTTGTTTGCTCCTTTCCATTTCAGTGATGTTTTAATTTATAATGACAAACATGCCCCTTTACTTTCATTATATTTTCATTTTAAAAGTTTTTTGAAGAAAAATGGAGAAAACAAGCTATCATCTCCTTAAAACTGAGAACAGGAAGCACAGTAAAAAGAATGCAGTGTTTTTGTAGTTGTTATTAAGGCAAATAACAACAGATATAAAACAAATACTACCATGACCCTTTTTTGAGTTTATCTAAAAAGTTATTATGTTAGGTAACTGGTGAAGGAGATGACAAATATCTGATTGCAACAGCAGAACAGCCACTCTGTGCGTATCACTTAGATGATTGGATCCACCCATCCCAGCTACCAATAAGGTAACATGATTCTTTTTGCTACATGTTGACATTGGAACCTACATGTTGCCTTTTAACTCCGGAAACATGCTTTCTGCAGATATGCTGGATATTCATCATGCTTTCGCAAAGAAGCTGGTTCTCATGGGCGAGACACACTAGGAATATTCCGAGTTCACCAATTTGAGAAAGTGGAGCAGTTTTGCCTTACTAGCCCAAATGACAATGATTCGTGGAATATGCATGAGGAAATGCTGAAGAACTCTGAAGATTTTTACAAAGCGGTATGATACAGCCACAGTGCTCATCATTAAGCAAATAATGTTAAGGAAATTCTGTGAATTTTTTCAAATTTCAAATAAATATGTACAAATATACAATTTGAAAGCAGTTACTGAATCCCAGGGTACCATTAATTATTGCGAATAATCATATATGTTGTTTGACATGCCAAACATATCTAACCATGTGAAAGTTTAGTGCATCCCATATTTCTTTCTAAATTTTTTATATCTACAGCTTCATTGTAATTGGATGATTATTTGCACTCGGTATTGGCAACGATCTACTTTTTGTGGGTTTGTAGATTGATGTCTTGGTTGGTCTGACTAAAATTCTTACTTTCCTTTCCTCAAGTTCTTTTCTGTTTCTCATGTGATTAAATTTTATTTACTGCAGTTAAACCTTCCATATCAAGTTGTTTCCATTGTATCTGGTGCTTTGAATGATGCTGCAGCAAAGAAGTATGATCTAGAAGCATGGTTTCCAGCCTCCCAAGCTTACAGAGAGCTGGTGTCCTGTTCAAACTGTACAGACTATCAGGCCAGAAGATTAGAAATTCGATTTGGTCAGAAAAAGGTTAGTAATGCGTAATTTCGTCTTGTTGATGGCTTCAATGTGCATTATTCATGAACTTCACAAAAAAATTTCATTTACATTTAAAAAACTAAGACCTTGTTTTATTAAAAATATCTCAAACTGCATGTATTGATAGATAGGGCTTTGGATGATGACTTGGGTCCCAATTGACCATTAGCACATTGGCTGACCAAGCCGCAGGGGTGGAGTGTATGTAAGGAGAAACAAAAGGGGAATGGAGAGAGTGTTGACTCGAAATGGAGAGAGAATGACGCGATTTGGGTGAGGGGGTTTCTGTTATTAAAAGTATCATTACTTCCTAGTATTATCATTAGACCTAAGTATAGAGTGTTGAGTGTGGGAAACCTCCTACAGCTATATCTAGATTTGCACCTAGGGTCCTAGTTGCAGTCTCTTACTTAGTCTTCTATGTCTCATTGTATCAGATTTCCATTATAAATAGAAGAAAGGGAGAAAGGTCCCATAAGCCCTCAAGATATATTTTTTCTTTATTAATCTTAAGTTGGTAGCAGAGCAGGTCGATCCCGCTCTGGTTTATGTCTGGTCTTGTCCACCACCATCAGTCACCACTGTTCGCTGCCGTCCAAGCTCAGTTTTATCACTATCTGAAGCTATCCTCTGCTCTGTTGGACTGTCCAATATTGTCAAGCAACTATCCGTCGCTGTTTGTCGCCGCCTGCCACCGTCAGCCATCGCAATTTCGTCTGGAAACCACTGGATTTGGACCGCCTCTCCGAGCGACAACCAACCTTGCCGGTGCCGAAGGGAGACTCCTCGTGACGCGCCGTCATGCGCTCCATCTCCCTAGGGCTTTCAAAAATCTTCGCTGCTTTTGCGTATATGATCTTTTTGTTTTTTTGTCCTCTTGATCAGAAATGGCAACTGGAAGTGCTGGAAGCGCTATTGCATTCTCTGAAAGTTTTTCCATTACTTCCGAGAAGCTAAACAGACAAAATTACCTCTCTTGGTCCACTGCCATCGAGATGTGGTTCCTTGGCCAAGGACATCATGACCATCTTGAGAAAGGCGGAAGTCATGTGCCTGAAAAAAAAGCCGAACAGTGGAAGCAAGCAGATTTTCAGTTGTGTGCCCTGTTGTGGCAATCTGTGGAGCCAAGACTTTTAATGTCTCTTAGGGCCTTCAAGACATGTCACTCTTTTTGGAAGAGAACTCAAAACATATATGCCAACGATATCCAACGCCTTTATAATTCGGCAAACAAGCTGGCATCTCTGAAAATGACCAACCATGATATGATCTCCTTTATGAATGAAGCACAATCAGCTGTGGAAGACCTGTGAATGTTCTTGGAGGTCGACGCTTCAAATGAAATGAAGAAGAAGCTTGACAAATACTATATGGTGATGATTCTTCGCGTTATACATCCAGACTTCAACCATATCAGAGATCAGTTTTTGACCTCTCATGAAGTCCCTTCTATGGACACCTTAATCCAATGCATGGTTCGTATTTTAACACATGGAACTCTGGAAACTCATGCTCTAGTAGAACCATTTGTTATGGTCACCACTCGAGGAAGAGAAGGACATGAAACTAGAGGTGGCGGACGTGGTGGTCGTGGGCGTCCTCAATGCACATATTGCAAAAGGATGGGTCAACCGAGGAAAACTGTTACTCCTTACACGGTTTTCCTTCCAAAACAGTCAATGTCTCTCAGGTTGAAACGACTAAACCCAAGTTCACTGAGGACGAGTATCAAGAGTACCTACGACTCAAGTCCAACAGCTTGGCACAACCATCTCAAGCTCCAAGTACATCAACAACTTGCATCTCTCAATCCATGGAAAGTCACAATTTATGGGTAATTGATTCTGGTGCTTCTGACCATATCTCTGGTAATACCTTGTTCTCAACCATTTCATTTCAAGACAAACCTCATTTTATAACCATTGCAAATGGCTCTAAAACTTTCTCAAAGGGAGTTGGTCAAGTCATCCTGTCTCCCTCCTTAAATTTAAAATCTGTCATTTTTATCCCTAACTATCCCTTCAATTTAATTTCCTTAAGCCAGTTAACCAAAATGTTAAATTGTTTAGTAACCTTCCATAACAAATCTTTTGTTATACAGGAGCGTGGTTTGGGGCGACAGATTGGAGAAGGATATGAAGCAGGAGGATTATATCATTTTGGATCTCATCCACGAGTGTCATGTGTTGCAGCCCCTAGTCCTAAAATGTTACATGATCGGCTTGGCCACCCTCATCTGTCCAAGTTAAAAAAATATGTCCTGAACTTAGTAGTCTCCAAACCTTAGAATGTGAGTCATGTCAACTGGGTAAACATGTTAGATCTGCCTTTCCTAAAAAGTCTCAATCAAAAGGTAATTCTAGTTTTTCTATCATTCATTCTGATATTTGGGGACCTAGTCGTGTCTCATATTTTGGTTTTAGGTATTTTGATACTTTCATTAATGAATTTTCAAGATGTACTTGGGTTTACCTTATGAAAAATCGTTTTGAATTATTATCTATCTTCACATTCTTTTTAAATGAAATTAAGAATCAATTCGGGAAAATGATCAAAATCTTGTTAAGTGACAATGCCAAGGAGTACTTCTCATCAGCTTTTTCTGTCGTTTTGAGTTCACATGGTATCTTGCATCAGTCCACTTGTCCACAGCAAAATAGTATAACAGATAGGACAAATAGACACTTGGTTGAAACTGCTCGTACCTTTTTGCTTAATGTCCATATTCCAGTCCATCATTGGGGAGATGCTATCTTAACTGCATGTTTTCTTATTAATCGGATGTCATCATCCTCTCTCAATCATAAGGTCCCTTTCTCCTTTCTGTTTCCAGATAATTCTCTTTTCCACATTTCTCTTCGTGTTTTTGGTTGTGTATGTTTTGTTCATGACATGTCTCCAGGGTTAGACAAGTTTTCTGCTCGCACTCTCAAATGTGTCGTCTTAGGCTATTCCCGTCTTCAGAAAGGGTATCGTTGTTACTTTCCTGAAACGAAGAAATACTACATGTCTGCCCATGTCATGTTCTTTGAACGGACCCCTTACTTCTCTCCATCTGTTCAAGATGTTCATGTCATACAACATGGCCTCCCTATTCCAATGGTTGAGTACAATCTTTCCAATGTCTCTGTCAATCCTGGTCCAAGTCTTGATCAAAGTCCTCCTGAGCCATCATCTCCACCTATTCATACCCCCCATACGAATAGTCCCATTTTCCAAGAACATGGTGAATCCCCTACTTTAGATGCTTCTCCCTCGTCCCTTGATACCACGACTCCGGGTGAAGGTGATTCAGGCTGACCCATTGCTCTCAAAAACGGTACTCGTTCCACTCGAACCACATCCCATTTATAATTTTCTTAGCTATCATAGATTATCGTTTTCCTATTGTTCCCTTTTATCTTCAGTATTTTCTGTTGTTATTCCCAAAAATGTGAATGAATCACTTGATCATCATGAATGACGACAAGCAGTGGCAAATCTTGACCATTGATCTTGGGGGTCAAATATTATATTATTAATAAATATAAAAGGAAGAAAGAAGATGAAAGGGTGAAAAGATAAAATTATAGATATATACTTAAATATATTAAATAATCATTAAATTTGAGGGGAACAAAATCATAAATTATATGAGAGTTACAAAGCGAGGAGAGATTGAGAAGATAAAATTGTAAATATACAAGTAAATATATTAAATGTTCATTATGTTTGGGGGGCCAAAATCATAAATTACATGGGAGTTATAAAACTTTGGAGGGGTCACGGTCCCCCTTAGCTTCCAAGAAAATCCGCCACTGGCGACAAGCCATGATTGCAGAGATGCAAACTCTTGAACACAGTCATACTTGGAAGCTTGTGTCCCTCCCCCTGGGTAAGAAGGTTGTTGGTTGCCGATGGATGTATGCAGTTAAAGTTGACCCTGATGGTCAAGTTGATCGACTCAAAGCTCGATTGGTTGTAAAAGGATACACTCAGGTTTATGGTCTTGATTATTGTGACACTTTCCCACCCGTGGCCAAGATGACTACTATTCGTCTCTTCTTTGCAATAACAGTCATTCGTCACTTGCCACTTCATCAATTGGAAATAAAAAATGTCTTCCTCCATGGTGATCTTGAGGAAGAGGTTTACATGGAGCAACCTCCTAGATTCGTTGCTCAGGGGGAGTCTGGTATGGTATGCAAATTGCATCATTCTCTATATGACCTCAAACAATCACCACGTGCTTTGTTTGGAAAATTCAGTTCCATTGTTCAAAAATTTGGGCTAAGACGTAGTGAAGGAAACCATTATGTCTTTTACTGTCGTACATCTCTTGGAAATGTGTTTACCTAATAGCATATGTTGATGATATAGTCATTATAAGAAATGACACTGCTGGAATATCTCAACTAAAGGAGTACTTGTATAGACATTTTCAAACTAAGGATTTTGGAAGCCTCAAATACTTCTTGGGCATTGAAGTAGCTTAGTCAAAAGATGGAGTTGTAATCTCTCAAAGGAAGTATGCTTTTGATATATTACAAGAAATAGGCATGATTGACTGTAGACCAGTAAAAGGTCCTATGGACCCCAATCAGAATCTAACGACAGAAGAAGGTGAATTATTCTCTGATCCAGAGAGATATTGGAGGCTTGTTGGAAAGCTAATTTATCTTACTATTACGAGGTCTGATCTATCTTTTGCAGTTGGAGTGGTTAGTCAGTTTATGCAGATTTCATATCTTGGACATTGGAATGCCATCATCCGTATTTTAAGGTACCTCAAGAAGGCTCTTGGACAGGGTTTACTCTATGAAAATAAAGGAAATGTTCAAGTTTTCGGGTATTGTGATGTTGATTGGGCAGACTCCCCTATTGACAGACGCTCTACTACAGGATATTGTGTCTTCCTTGGCGGATATGTTATCTCATGGAAAAGTAAGAAGTAAAATGTAGTGGCTCGATCATCCGTTGAAGCTGAATATTGGGCAATGACATCTCTCATTTGTGAACTCATATGGGTAAAGCAATTTCTTCGGGAGCTTAATTTCTGTGAAATCCAAACCATGAAGATGTATTATGACAATCAAGCTGTTCTCCACATTGCATCAAATCCGGTGTTTCATGAGAGGACTAAACACAGAAATCTACTGCCATTTTGTTCGGGAAAAAATAATGTCCAAGGAAATTTGTACTGAGTTCGTTGGGTCAAATGACCAACTTGTAGATGTGATGACCAAGTCATTAAGGGGACCTCAGATTGAGTTCATTTGTTCCAAAGTTTGGTTCATACAATTTGTATGCTCCAACTTGAGGGGGAGTGTTAGAATCATTACTTTCTAGTATTATCATTAGACCTAAGTATAGGGTGTTGAGTGTGGGAAACCTCCTACGGCTGTATCTAGATCTGCACCTAGGGTCCTAATTGCAGTCTCTTACTTAGTCTTCTATGTCTCATTGTATCATATTTCCATTATAAATAAAAGAAAGGGAGAAGGGTCCCATAAGCCCTGAAGATATATTTTTTCTCTATTAATCTTAAGTGGTAGGATGTAAAGAGAGATGGTATCTTTTGTGGGGTTAGCATATTTGTTATGGACAGACAGCATTAGCCCTCTAAAGGAGCTCAGATCTGTGGTGTAGGAATATTCATTCCAACCCTTTTTTGTTATTCTACATAAATAAATCATTAGGGTTCTAGTTTGTAACGTTTATGAAATCCATTGTTTTGAACTTTGTAATTTCTTACTTTTGTCATGTGAATATTCTTAAGTGATGATAGTGCTTAATTATTGTAAGAGCCTACGATGTTCCATAATTAAACCTTTTATGGATCGAAGTGTGTTGAATTTTTTGCCTACTTTATTCAGTCTTTAACTGATTCCAACCACCGTATGCATATGGATATACTTTCATAATTTAACTATTGGACTTTTGCATCATTTTACTGTTGCAGAGCAATGAACAGATGAAGCAATACGTTCACTTGTTGAACTCTACCCTCACGGCTACCGAGAGGACCATTTGCTGCATACTAGAGAACTACCAGAAGGAAGATGGGGTAGAGATACCAGAAGTCCTCCAACCATTTATGGGGGGAAAGACTTTCCTGCCTTTCAAGAACCAACCGTCTAATGAAGCCAAAGGGAAGAAATCGAAGGCCTAATTGCATTTTAAGTCAGTGATATTTATGAAGAGTTTGTTCAGAGTTGTAGGTTATGATGACCCTTTTATTTTCCCACCACACACTGTTTACAACTCCCGTTTCTCTCCCTTATATGACTAAATAGTAAATTGATTTTAGGAGCACGCACATTTTTTTGGTCAAAGTACACAGCATGATATACTCTGTAATTTAATACTCTAGAGTATTTGTGCTTTTTAATTGCATTTTGGAGTTTCTGTTCATTGTGAAATGATTCAAAAATATAGATCATGTTCTAGATTTGCTTGAAACACGTCAGACTGTTTTTGTTTTCGTTGCTTACTGTATAGTCTGGTTATTTTTTGGTAGGGGTTATTGTTTGGTTCGACATAAATCCTTTTTTTCCATAGGGGGGTTATGGGAATATAAGTGCAATGTAAATATCCAGTTGAATGTGAGTGCAATGCAATACAAGTGCAAGGAAATTCTGGGTGATGGGATTAGAATTTCTGAAGTCTGTATTGGTTTGTCTTGCAGGGCATTGAAACACGTTCAATTTAATCGAGCTGCTCATATTCTAAATTCAATTACAAATTTCATGGGAAAGAGGAATGCGATCTGCAAAATGGGGACTCGAGTATTCAACCTAGTCTTGTAGTGGGGTTTTTACTGGCAAGCCAACCTTCTGGCTTGTTCTTTACATTGGCCCTTTTGATTTGTATGTTTCTGAATCTCAATTGTTCGATGGTCAAATATTTTAATAAATTGATTTTTTTCAGAAACCTACGACTTCCTTTTTTATTGATGTGTTCTGGCATAGATTTCCCCAATGGTAATTCGAGTTTTCGTTATCGTATACAACCATGGGGATGTTATTTTGCATTATTTATTTACCAAACCGCTTTGCTCTTTGATGTGATATTCACGGCATATCAAACAAACAACGCTGTCTTAGAAAAATGGGGAGGACAGGACAGATACTTCAATTTCTTAGAGAATAAGAAGATACTGTTGGTTTCAACTTTCAAGTCGCCTTCATTCATTATTCAGTCAAGATAGTAATCCTCGTGGCGAAATGTAAAAATTTAGAGAGCAGGGGTGGTGAGAGAAGACTGACACAAGGAAGACAACTCTTGTAAGGATAGAGGATTCGGTCAATTGAAGTAATCAACTGTCTTGTAAGAGAATCTACCTTTTTGATGATGACTAAAGCTTTTCCACCATACTCTTAACTTGTGTGCATTTTCTCCTTCCTTTCCTTATCGACCACCCCATTTGAGTCCTTGAAACTAACATGATTCTTCCCTCTATCCTTCAATTCCTCTGGGAAAAAGTTGAAGAGTAAAGATCATATGAGTCCGTTCTTGATGTTGTGTCTGTAATGGGAATGCCACAAACCAAAAGAAAATTAAGATGGGAGAACCACGGTCTACCAAAATTGTGAATATTAGCCTCATTTCCAATTAATTTATTGCTACGTTTTGGTGGGTTCTAGAGATTATTTGGGTCAAAGGATTGTCCGAATTTTATAATAATAATAATAATAATATTATGCCAAAATAAAAATTAATAGGATCGGACAGTTTACCGTTTAGGATATAGGATTAACTATCACACTCAACTTTTTTTATTGTTTAATATTAAGATATAAAATCTGTAACATTATATTATTTAGTTTTTTCTATGTGATACAGATAAATTTTCTCAATGTTTAGCATTTGTATTGATATCTGTACTCTATAGAATATACATTTCTAAGTAAAAAAAAAGAAAAAAAGTCATCTACACAAAAACACATTTTTACCCACAAAATTAATCTTAAAGGGGAAATTTTAAATTCAAATTTTAAATACAAAACAAAACATTAGGTCTAATGGATGTGAGATAACGTTAGATACAAACTAATTTTAAACTATAAATTAACATTCTAATTCTGTTTTTCCCTCTTTAAACATGATATTTTCTTCATCATAAAGTTTTAAAAATTCTTTCTCTATCTTTATTAATGTGGAAGAGAAGAGAAAAGAGAAGGTGAGAAAATAACAAAGAGAATATATTTTGAAAATATATATATTTTTTAATTTAATGAATTAATTATAATTTCTAAAAAACTTTAAAATATATTTATATAAGATTAATACTGAAATTTTTTTAGGAATAGGACACTGGAAAATTATATAAAAAAATATAAAATCTTAAACATTAAATTTATAAATCTATTTCATTTATGTTATTTAAATTTCTCATTTTTATTTAATATATGATTTTAACTATTTTTAAGGTATATTGAATTTTAAAATAAATGAAAATTATATATTAAAAGTATTAATATTTTTACAAAATTTATAATTTATCTACAACTATTATAATAATATATCAAATTTTGATGTACACTTCTAATATATTTTTTATTTTTTTACTTTAGAATAAGAAACTACCGCAATGTTTCATTATTCATCCCATTTTTTGTTTTACCTTTTTTTTCATTTTTTCTAATTTAATAAATAGCATTTCAGGAAAATATTATATTAAAATATCAACTACATTGTTTCACTTGTTTTTTAATCCATCTCTTCTCCAATAGTAATGTTAAGTTTGTTATTTTCTTCTATACTTATAAAATGGAATATTTTCCTTCGCATAAACGAGATCAGGGGCTTACACAACCCACCTGTAAATATTATCGAAGCAGGATAAAGAGTAACTGAAGTCCAGCAGCAACAATAAGTTATTCATTAATTTTAGAAACTGCGAAACAAAACCAACTGGTTAATCATGGGATTATGCTATTTTGATTATATTTAATCCACATCCTACTCCTTCAAATGATAACCTCACGGCCAAATAGGTATAGTTTCTATAGTAAAATGTTGCTTCAATGGAATCTTATTTGATGTAAAGTAAACTTGAACTAGGTAGCAGAACCTCTGGTGGAAATAATGGGGTTGTTTCTAGTTAATCCTTCACTTTTAAAACAATGAGTGGAATTTAAATACTTTGAAGTCTAAAGGATTCTTGCTCGTGAGACATGGTATAGATGTAATACAATAAATTACTCAAGCAATTGCTTGTAGTTATCTAACATACAAATTATGTTACTGAAAATTAAAAACAACAAAAGAACTCTCTCTTCATTGTTTAGGCTTCATTGATGTTGAATGGTGATAATACAATTTTGCTTTCATACTGTTATTTTGAAAAGGTAGACCTTTAGTGCAACAGATAAAGCCAACTGCAATATAAAAATGCCAGCAACAATCAAAACCCATCGTTCTCCTGCTGACAAAATATGTGCCCGGAGGTTAAGTGCCACAAAAGTTGCCGACATGAACCCAGCCACCCCAGCTATCAACCATCTAAATATCTCCAATGGCACAACAGACAAGCACTGCACCAAAAAAGGGTTTGGAGGATATATACAAAGGAAAATGTCAAATTTCATATTTTCTTAAAATTTGAAGAGCAGTAACTCACCAGTGCTGGAATAAAGACAAACAGGGAATATCCATAGAGACAAAGTAGTTGGACAAGACCCGACGGTACAGAGAAGTATTTGAGGATTAGATATAAACCAATAGGAACAACGGTGACATAACCATAAAACAAGCCAGCAGACCAAGTCACCACATTTATGTCATAGTTCCATTCCTGATGCTTCACTTCGTGAGCTATGTATGTCACAAATGTGCCAATAGATGCCGCTACGAATATTAAGGTAGTGCAAATCCAGAATGGTCCATACCTGTTGCACATTTATAGTGAAATCCAATTGTGTGCTTCCTCACATATAAATACCTCTTTTGGCAAAAAAATAAGTATCTGTTATCCAAAGTCAATAGCAGTTTTCCTGTCGCCTCTATATCAGACCTTGGTACTTAGGTAATGAGAAACTCAAGCAACAAAAGACACTATAGTGAAATAACATGAGAAATGAAGCAAAACCAACAGTTAAGTGGAACACTAACGATTGGAAAGGAATAAGCAACAACAGTCAAGCAAGGCAAATGACGGTCAACTATAATTACTGTGCTAGGATACTGGATCCCAAACACTGGGGAAATACGCTTCAAATAAAAGAAATTGCAATGAGATATTCTTGAACTATAATTATTAGACCTGATACAACGTCCTAAAATCTTAAAATTACATTTGAATTAATGCAAAGGATGGAATGAAATGATAATGAATTTGGAATTTTTTTGTTTGTTGAAAATATGAACAAATGGAATGGGAATTGAATGCATTTCGTTTCATTGAATAGCTATACATTTTCTTCCTTTCCAATTTGGGGAGCACGAAATGGATCCACGCTTTTACATCCTACACCAGTATCAAAAATATTAAAATTTTCAAACAATGAAAAGGTATCTTCTTTCTACTCCATTTCAATTATGTCCCATCCAAACACGGACCGGGGCACTACATCCATGAGTCATTCCATTTATGAAGTTTTTAAGGATTCTTTTACCACACTTATTTCTCAACATTAATTGAATGAGAACCACTCTTCTCAACGCTAAATGGTTATTGCAGTAGCATGAATCCAATATGAGTTGAATGTGAGAACTAAAAATTCTTATTTGAAGTTACAAAGTATTATCTCCTGTTCACGACCTAACTTTAACTTCAAGGATGAGTACCTCTATACTTCACAATCGAATATGACTGGATAATGTCAATGTTAATCATGAACTTCACTCCTCCGTGTTATACAAAGTCTTCTCTTTCAAACACGGCAAATTATTTAATATGTCTGTCATCCTCAAGAAGAGAGTCAACAATGAAGTACTGCCGAGTTTGTAGTATAACACTAACAGCCACTGTAATCTATCAGTTAAAAAAGCAACAATTAAAGAGAATAAAGTAACTTACAAATCAGGACTGGAAGCAGTTTTTTCATTAAAAGTTCCATTCAATGGATAGAGTGAATCTTTAATCCGGTCTATAACATCTTCAGTGTTGATATCAAAGTATGGTTTGTAAGTAGAGAGTGAGAAAGCCTGAAACCAGCCTCTCTGCTGGGATTCATCAGAACCAGATACTACTTTTGAAAATGTATCTGTTTAACGCAAATAAAACCAATTACACATCTGTTGTTGCAAATCAAGTAATAATTTACAATTTTACAGAAAATAAACAAACGAAATACCATCAGCTTCACGTGGAGGCCTTGAGCCAACACTGCCACCAATCTTGCCTTGTGCTCCGGAGGGAGGAAATGTCTGAAGATTTGAATCTAAATCAAACCGTACAAAAATATTTTACTACCCAAAAACAACATAAATCAATGCATAACACTAAAAAAAACACAGATTATATATACACATTATTTCCTTGTCTAAGATTCATGTGAGATAATATAATGATTTTATTTATCAATGGCAGAGACAACATTACAAATGACAAAACATAGCAATGAGAGTGGATTGGGTAATTAGTTAACCTGAGAATTTGAAGGGTGGTGGATCTGGAACAGCCTGCATGAAATAAAAAATGAAAAGTAATGATAATAAGAAATGGAAGATGAATTGAATTACAATAAGGCTTGATGACAAAGATGATGATGACTTACAGGTACAGATCCTGAAACGTTTTGGTTTTCAATGGAGGTGTAATGTCCTGACATCATTTTAAATGCTTTCTTTCACTTCAACTTCAACCGTCGTTTTCTTTAACTTCGCCCATGTTCATTATTTATCATGCTCGTGAATCTAATTGTGTGATCGTACTCACTACGTAGTTGGGTTGGGTCATAATAATGGATCAATTTACCCAATCTTTTAATTTTCTTTTCTTAAACTTTTTCATTGTTTTTTTTTTTAAACCTTTTAGGTCGAAATTCAATTCTCCTATAAATACTATTTTCATTTACTTTAATTATAAGCTTAGTACTTCTTTAATGTTAACCATTATTAGTGGAGAGATAATGAAAACTAAAATAATCTACATAATTAAGTTTATTTCAAATTATCAACTTTATTTTTTAATGTCATTATTAGAACTTGTCACTTTACAACTTAGCATTCTAATTATAGAATATTATTATATTCTCGTTGCTTAACTTTTTTTTTTTAGCATTAAGCCCATTTTTATTGATTTTTGTGAGTACTAATATAATTTGGTAATTAGATAAAAAATAGTATTATTTTTTAAAATTTATCAATTAAATATTTTTACATTAGTAAAATATTTATTTTCCTTTTCAGCATAATATTTACAAGTCGTAAAACAGTTTTCACCTTTTTATATTAAATATATTGTTTTTTACCATTTGTGTAAAATTCCTTTCGTAGTTGTATCAAGTAATTTCCTTCCAATATAATTTAAAATGAATGACACTTATACCATTTGATTCACAACAGCCAAAAAATCATTAAACAAGTGTTCTCTTTTAAATAAAAATTAAGATATGGGTAAAAAATATTTCAAAAGTAATTTTATTCTTTATTAATAACATACTTAATTATTCATTAACTACGTGAAACTTTATAATAACATTTAAGTAGGATAGAATTCGAATTCTTGAGATATTTTTTTATATAAAATAAAATTATGTTGAGAAGGAAGTATCTATATATTATACCATCTCAGGAGGTTAATTATAACAATGATAAAAAATTTTGAACCAATAACAAGATAAAAAGGAAACTACATTGTTACATATTAAATAATATTGTATATTTTATATTAAATATACACGAACTCTTTCCTAAAAACTTTTTTATATTTATAATATAATATTATATTTATATTTATAATATAAATATAAAAGGTTTCCTGCATTAACCCTTTATTATATTTATAATATATTATTTAGAAAGTCAAAATATTAAATATATTAATTTTAAATGTTTTTAAATTTAAGACTGAATAATAATTGATGTTATGTTATTCCTCTTAAATGAATATTTCATTAGTTACATCAGCAAAATAGATTGAGTGGGCTGAAATTAAAAAGAAAAACAATTTTATCAGATGAAGGTGGACCATATGTTTCCTGTATCAATTCTTTATTACTTTTAAACAATCTCTAAATTTTATAAAATTACAAAATAAAATAAGAAATATAATAATTAAAAGAAAAAGTAAAACATTCTTATTTTACTGTACACGTTATGTTGTATATATAAAAAAAAATACACGCATCAAGTTTGTATACTGGAATAAAAGGTAAAAAAAATATATTTCATTATTATTTACAATTTTACAAACTAAAGAATAAAATAATATATACCAAGATATATAAAAATAAATAAATATATATATATATATATATGTATATTATCTTTATACAAAATAATATATACAAAATATAATATGTTAATATATCTTTATATAATGTGATATGAATATATGAATACCATTATTATATATATATATATGTATATTATCTTTATACAAAATAATATATACAAAATATAATATGTTAATTATCTTTATATAATGTGATATGAATATATTAATACCGTTATTATATATATATATATATATATATATATATATCTGTATATTATCTTTATACAAAATAATATATACAAAATATAATATGTTACATATATCTTTATATAATGTGATATGAATATATTAATACCATTTATATAAAATAAATAATGGTATAAATATATTGAGGAGAATGAATAGAAGGGAAAGAGGGAGAGGGAGATAGCATAGAAAGGAGTAAAAAGTTAAGGGAGTGTTCTGGAAAAGGCCAATTCCGTGACAAGTGTGGTACAGTAGAAGTCTAAGGTGCAAGAGAAGTAAAGGTGGTATAAATATTAACCGCGGAACAACTGGAGGCCCCAGACGGCCACCTACAAGCACCGTCTACATAGGGTACGCCACTATACTTTCCTTCGTTAGGGTTTTTGTTTTCACTCCGACGCAATCGCTTACACTTTCCAGTTTTTTATTTTAGACTCTTATCCTCGATCCCATCAACCATGGCAAAACCCTCTTCTGGAACCGTCAATCCTCACAGCCGCACCGGAGTTCGTATTGTCGTCGCCGGAGACCAAGGCACGGGAAAATCCAGCCTCATCATCACCGCTGCCGCTGATAACTTTCCGGTTAATGTGCCGCCTGTCTTGCCTCCCACGCGCTTGCCTGAAGATCTCTATCCGGATCGTGTACCTATCACCATCATCGACACCTCCTCCCGGTACTCAACTTTCGTTTTTTTATCTAGCCTGATATTCGTTAAGTTTAGTGACGATGCGGTTTTGGATTGGAATAACGGACGTGTGATTCGTTCGAGTGCGTTAGTGTCTTTCCCTTTTTAAGATAAGATTCGTAGGCCTTTTAATAGAGCACTCGAGTTCAACGTTTTGAATACTGTGCTAGGCTTTGATGCCATCGTTATAATTCGATGTTTTTCGTAACTAGATCTTTCAAACCTTATGCTGTTTTGGAGGTGGTGTTTTACTTTGGAGCTGGACTTATTATTGTGTTGTTTGTTCCTGAATTTTCTTCCTTGAAACCAATATGGCTCTTTCGGTTCTGAGCTGTTTACTCATTAGTTATTGCCTACTTAAAGTATAATTATATTTTTTTTAAGCATTGTAATCTCTTAGAAATGCACTTTTATGCTTATTGATTTGTCTTGGGTTCAGTTTATTCCAAAATATTATCTTCTCTCCTTTTGTTTGTTAGTTTTTTGAGAAAAAATAGCAATTATTTACATAATTAATCTCCAGCTAAACGTGCACAAGTTATTTATTATGTAAATAACTTCCCTAAATGTTTTCATTGGTTCGTTCTATTTTTTTAGTATTGTTGTTGTTTTCATTGCAGTGCCGAGGATAGTGATAAAGTTGCTGAAGAATTGCAGCGGGCTGACACAGTTGTCCTTACATATGCATGTGATCGACCTGAGACACTTGAAAATCTGAATATATTTTGGCTTCCACATCTTCGCAAATTAGAGGTTCTGATCTTCTTTATGTTTTACTCTTCAATTACTATATTTTCAACTGGAGCTCCTTTTTTCTAGAAGTTAAGAGATAAAAAGGAGGCAAAAGTAAATATTCATAAAGAATGGAAGGGGAATGACCCAAATAAATTATTTTATTGCAAATTGTTAAAAGCAGTTATCTTCTTTTCTCATGTCAGAAGAGCATAACTTGTGCACATGCTTGCATACATCTGTCTTACACAGCTTAATCAAATTCACGTAACATATTTGCCTTTTCAGTTTTGGTGCATATATGCATGCTGTTGATATTTGAATTTGATGAACAGGTGAAAGTTCCAGTTATCGTAGTTGGTTGTAAGCTTGATTTGAGAGATGAAAATCAGCAGGTGAGCCTAGAACAGGTGATGTCACCGATCATGCAACAGTTCCGAGAGATTGAAACTTGCATTGAGTGTTCAGCATCTAGGCATATTCAGGTACCTTTCATACCAACCAATGGTTTGACATCTTATTATGGTGATGATCAATTATATTTGGATTTTGTTTATATGTTGTCTATTAAATTTCCTTATTGAAGGTTCCCGAAGTTTTCTACTATGCACAAAAGGCTGTTCTTCATCCAACTGCTCCATTATTCGATCAAGAGTCACAAACTCTAAAGCCTCGATGTGTGCGAGCCTTGAAGCGAATTTTTATTCTTTGTGACCATGATAGAGATGGTGCCCTTAGTGATGCTGAGCTGAATGATTTTCAGGTTGCATTTCCCCTCTGAAGATGACAATATTAATAGGCAAAATTGAGTCTTATTATTATTAAATATTCTTGTCTGCCACCTTAGAGTTTGATCATAAGCATTTTTCTATTATGTTATGGCAAGATAGTTTAAATATATGAATTGTGTAAAAGCTAACAAAACATTCAACAGGTTAAATGTTTCAATGCTCCTTTGCAACCATCAGAAATTGTGGGTGTAAAGAAGGTTGTACAAGAAAAAATGTCTGAAGGGGTGAATGAACGTGGGCTTACTTTGACTGGATTCCTATTTCTTCATGCCCTTTTCATAGAAAAAGGGCGTCTTGAGACAACATGGACTGTGCTAAGGAAGTTTGGATATAATGATGATATCAAGCTTGCCGATGATCTAATTCCACCCATAAAACGTGCTCCTGATCAGGTATTTCTTTGGAGATGAATTGTGATATAACGTGTATGTGTATTATGTGTGACACAGGTTTATGTGTTATACCTGTCTGAAATCAATTTGTGGATGATAGGATATTTTTATCTTGTTTTAATTAAGTTTGACTTTAATGTATGCAGAGTGTGGAGCTTACAAATGAAGCATTGGACTTTTTGAAGGCAATTTTTGATGCATTTGATGGTGATGGGGTATGTTTATTCTTCTTTTCAATTATTTTCTCAGATGATTCTATTGTGATATGAGTTGCAAATGGTAGCATGCCTAACTCTTATTGATTTTGGGCAATATTTTTTTGTTCCTCCAGGATGGAATGCTACGATCTCGTGAACTTGAAGAATTGTTTTCTACTGCCCCTGAAAGGTAGATTGCTTTTTGTCTTCTTATCATCTACCATTCTGTTATAGATTACTTTGCGTTAGTTTTTTTCTTGAATTGGTAATATGGGGCAGTATGATGAGGAATTTATCATATTATCTTACCGTGTTATTACTTAAGATGCAGAACTGATCATAAGTGGGTTTAGATTGTATCCCTAGGTGAATTCAACAACCTGAAACTGTAATATGCTTCAGCAAGCTCAACTACTGAAAAGTTAGAGTGTTCTTATGTTTGAATTAGCATGATATGTTTAATATTTTATAATACTCTGAACCTTAGGATATATTTATACAAGTTAGTAAACAAAATTGCTGAAACATGTAACATTTTAAATCAAAGTTATGCAAGAGCTTCAAGTATCCTTCAAATTGTATCAGATATAAGCAAATCAGGTCAGTATTTCTTTTCTATCTAACAAAGATAAGTTAATAAACAAAACTGCTGAAACATGTAACATTTTAAATCAAAGTTATTCTAGAGCTTCAAGTATCTTTCAAATTTTATCAGATATAAGTAAATCAGGTCATTATTTCTTTTCTATCAACAAAGATTAAAGTTTAGAAGATGAACACTTAGAAGATATTAATAGTGGATCTCCCTTGTCCATTTGAGCTATGTCCAACGACTCCCACCTACCTGGTCCTGGTGGGACCTTTTTAACCATGTAGGAATTCTCTGCATGGTTATAACAATACACCTTGTTCATAATAGCCTCTTTAGGGTAACAACTGTCACAACACTTACTTGGACCTTGACTGGTGTACAAACTACCGTTCACTTAGCCTGGCCAGACTTAGAGTAGTACTATATCAAGATACAAATAAATAACAAGCAAGAACAGCTATAGAAAGTTTGTTAGTCTCCCTTCTGGTCCTTCTATGAGGTATGTTAATGACATAATTATAATATCTTGAGAAATTGTGATTAGTATGTACTGTATGATTCTTAGATGAAGTATTTGCCTTTATGTCAAAGGCTTAAAGTGGTGATGTGGTGTTTAGGGTTTATGTGTATGTATGTATGTGTGTATATATATATATATACATACCTATCATCATGATCTCTCAACACATTATAATTATGACATTAACATTGTTTTCCCCCTTTCTTCAAACATACATCTTCTTCAAACATTGATTTGGATTGCTGACAAAACTATGTTCCTAAAACAAACCAATGCTTTCTCAAGCTCTGTTATTAATATCAGAAGCAACAGTTCAGACATAGGATGGAAATACATGGGAAGGAAAATATGAGAAAGAATGCTTAAGAGATAACTACTCCTCAGCTGTGTGTATGTATATATATGTATGTACAAATGTATGTAAGAGATTCCTTAGCAGTGCTAAAAGCATGGCTCATAATTGATTTGTTAATCAGCTAAACTAGTTCAGGCGTCTTGAGAGAATTTTGACTTAACCAATGCCAGTGTTATATGATACTTTATTGTTTTGAATTGCAGTCCTTGGACTGGAACTCCATATGAGGATGCTGCAGAAAAAAATGCATTTGGAGGACTATCACTAGATGCATTTTTGTCAGAGGTGAGCAAGTCTTTTATCTTTATCTTTCTATCCTGCATTTTGTTGAATGTCAGTTTTAAAAAAGTTATTGGCTGTTGGGAGTTTTATCACTCATGAATTAGTATGCATTGAGAATCAAGGTTGTTTAGTTTTATTTTCTCTGTTATATGTACCTATTTCCTTAATTTATTTTCATTGATTGTTCTTTGTTGTAATGAATTTTTTCTTTTTCTGGACAGTGGGCACTTATGACTCTTCTTAACCCAACTTTTAGTCTGGAGAATCTGATTTACATTGGTTATCCTGGTGATCCATCATCTGCTATCCGTGTAACTAGGAGGCGGCGTTTGGATCGCAAGAAGCAACATTCAGACAGAAATGTTTTGCAGTGCTTTGTTTTTGGGCCTAGGAAGGCTGGCAAATCTGCATTATTGAATTCTTTTATTGGAAGGTTTTTTTTCCTTTTGTGTGTCACTCTGAAGCTTATTGATAATATAATTTCCATTACCAAATGCCTTATTGGTGTTTAATCAATAATGCAGGCCATATTCTGAAAGTTACAATCCAACCACTGAAGATCGTTATGGTGTAAATGTTGTTGATATTTCTATGGTAAGTGATACTTGGTTGACATTTGACAATAGCTACTACTTCCTGCGCAAAAGCATTTTGTCTCTAACCTGTTTCAGTATCCACCACTGCTTCTATTTTATTTGTTTTATATATCTTGGCTCTGGTTTCATCTCCAAGTAAATCACAACATTTGCAGGAAAACAAAAAATATCTTGTGCTGAGAGAGATTCCAGAAGATGGAGTTAGGAAGCTCCTGTCTAATAAGGAGTCTTTGGCCTCGTGTGATATTGCAGTTTTTGTTCATGACAGGTAACACTGATATCAAAGATCATAATAAATCAAAGTTATGGGTTATCTTTGTTACATAACTAGTATAGATATTTAGGTTACTTTTGTGAATTTCCGTTGATCCTAGTATTTATTTCCTGTTATCTTTTAGTATCTGCACCTATAGAGGATAAATTTTGCTGTTAATTAAATTGTTTAGAAGAGTTATATAAAGTTTTCTAGGCATTACAACATGTTTCTGTGAATTCATGTTTTAATTGATTGTGTAGTATGCTTGATATTTTTAGCTTGTACACTTATTTCAGCATCATAATTCATAAGCATTTTGAATAAATCTGCTGTGCTTATCGATTAGCTTCATAAAAGAGATTATAAGCAGAAGAAAATTCTGTATTGGCCAATATAAAGTAACATTTGTGACTTTTGAACATAAGTTGTAAATAACTTGAAGTAAGATGCTCAAGATTTTCATGTTATGCATTAAAAACTCGTAAACTGTATTTTGAATTAACTACAATTTCATGATCATGTGTTGAGAAATCATTACATACTTGAAAAAAAATCTGTATGTAGCTGATAAGATATTTATTTTAGGTTTGATGAATCCTCATGGAGAACATCATCTGAACTCTTGGTTGAAATTGCTAGTCATGGTGAAGATACTGGCTATGAGGTGCCCTGCTTGATAGTTGCAGCTAAAGATGATCTGGATTCATTTCCAATGGCTATACAGGAGTCAACTAGGGTATTTTTGTTGACTTGTTCATCTGCATTATTGTGTGCATAATTGAGTTTGCATATTACTGTACATATTAGATTCTTGAAATTTTTATTTCATTCAACCTCTGAAAGCAACATAAATGTCAAATAGCCTTCTGTTTGTGTATCCTTTGATCATCACCCTGAATTATTGAAGTTCATAAATTTTTTATTTATGGTAACAATTGTATAAATAATGGATGGAGAAAGCAGTCACGAGTGTTTGGATAGATTAAAGTATATATTTTTTTCTGTTTATCTTAGCATATGTAATTGGGACAATGTGTTTGACGCCGAGAAATTTCAAGCAACAGATGAATAAACTGCAATGACACTTTTGACTTGCCAATGTGTAGGTTAGTCAAGACATGGGAGTAGAGGCTCCTATACCAATCAGTGTGAAGTTAGGAGATTTCAACGGTCTATTCCGGAAAATAGTAATTGCTGCTGAGCATCCTCATTTAAGCATTCCTGAAACTGAAGCTGGAAGAAGCCGCAAGCAATACCACAGGCTAATTAATCGATCTCTAATGGCTGTTTCAGGTATGATGTCAGTTTTAGGTTTACTAGGTCATTCAGTACATAATGCCCAAAATTATCAAACCCAAGAGTCTGCATAAACTCATGAAAGCTCCATAAACTTGGCTAAGAAAATATTCTCTATCATGTGAAAAATAATAAATGTCAATTCAAATGTAAATACCATAATTAAGTAAACCTCGAAACAACAATTTCATGACATCCACTATGAGCATCTTAGTTTTCCATTATCATTGTTTTTATTTATTTATCCAAATTTTCCATTATTAGGCAGTCATTTAAGATATTTAGGCTTATAAAGAAGTACAAGGCTTTGATTTAGGGCTTTTGATTTAATAACAAGCAATCATCTTCAGATTTTATACATCCTCCATTTGTTTCTGCATTTAATGATATTTCATTACTCATCATATTGTAGTTGGAGCTGCAGTGGTCGTAGTTGGGCTGGCAGCTTACAGGGTATATTCTGCAAGAAAGAATGCGTCTGGTTAAAGGACAGGTTGTGTGTGGATCAATGTCCATTACCTTTACAAAGCAGCCTGCTCCTGGTTAGATATGTCAAGTTTAACATTCAGTTGGTTTTTTTGTGCCATGTAGAGTTTGCTATTTTTTATAAAATCACTATCTTTATTTTTTGTTTTTCAAGTGGAATTTAGCATTTTTTTTTCTCCTTCAAATTACGGTATGTTATTTTTTTTTCTTGTTAGGGTCATTTTGTTAGGGTCATCGTCGTAGTATTATACGCAATAACGAGATATATGGTCAGGACCAGTTAATCACTGGAAACTCAGAAAAAATTAAAGCATCCTGTATTCATTGAGATCCTTTACCCCGTGCAGTACGAATTATAAATAATTTATTTTCCACGCAAAATTGAGATCCTTGTAATTGTCTGTAGGTTGTCACATATTCTTACTCAGTGTAATGGTTACACTGTCGTTCACAGTAGTAAATTTGGTGTAAATATGATTGCAACATATAGGAGTGAAACTATAAACAGTATGCATTGGGGAAAAAAAATGAAGGTTAAGTTAGGTTATGTATTTGAAATTGATATTTAAGTGAATTGTATTTTAGAACATACTCGAAGGTATTGCTCTAGTTGTCAATTTATGAAAATTTTGTAATGAATAGCTCATGATAGTTAATTGACCAATAATATGCAGTGCAAAGATACTTGTTTTAATATTTTAATTGTTTTTGTTAAAAAAAATGTTTAAATATTTTATAATTTTCAAATATAATTTAAATAAAATTATATTACAAAATATTAGTATAAATAAACTTATTCTTTTAATTTTTAATTTTAACACATTATATTGTGAAATACTAATTTAAATAATATCAAATTTTAAATAATTTTATATTAATAAATTGATTTAAAAAATCAAATAAAATATTTGTAACTCGTGGATATTCATTTAAAACATTTGATTTATATACATAACCAATTTTATATGGACATAATTTTATTTTTTTCATCTTTATTTAGATAACTACTATTATTATGTAGATAATTATTATTACTACTACTATTTAGATAATTACTACTACATGGATTACTACTACATAGATACCATCTACTACTATACAGCTGTGGAAGTTTCAGTGTGGGACCTTGAAGGTACATGTACACTGCCAAAAAAAATGTAACAACTATGGTTGAGATGGAATATCCAAAGACAAACAAAATCTCAAGCCAGTCTACTTAATCTTCAAACTCTACAACCCGTCAGATAATATTGTTATTTTTTTTTTTTCATTTGCATATACCTTTTCCGATAGTATTTATACATAATAAAAATATATTAGTTATTATATTTTTTATTTTAAAAAACTAAAATAAAAATTTTAACAATATATAGAAAATACCTTCAAAAATAACATATGATAAAGATGAAATGTAACCTAAATAATTTTTCAAGAATAAAATTTAAAATCCATAAATATTTAAAGAAGAAAATAATAAAAAATATAAAGCTAAAAACGTAGTTGTTTCACTAAATAGAAATATATTTACATCTTAATTAATTAATAAATAATGTCAAAAGTGGTTTGGAAAATCTAAATTAAATGAAAAAACAAGAGCAATGGTTATTTCCTCTAAAAATTTAATTCTTTTAATATATTTATTTTTTAACCATTTATAATATTTTTTTACTTTTTAAAATATTTGATAGAATTTAAAATAATTGGTTATATAAACTAAACTAATAGTTATATTAAAAGGATTAAAATGGAATCAAATATCAAATAAAAATTTGCAGAAAAACTGGCTAATTTTTTTAAAGACAATTATATATAATTATATTTAAGTCTAAAATTTATAATTTTTATTTAGAATGATAGAAAATATTTTATAGTTGTAACCTAAGGAATGAAAATTTGAAAACAAACTTTAACCAGACCTGAAAAAAATAGAGACTAATCCGAATTTGACCCGACAAAAATAGAGATTAATCCGAATTTGACTCGACCCGTTTGATTTTCCTTTTCTCTCTTTCTTCGAACTCCCACGATTTATAACAAAAAAAATAGGCTAAGAAAAAATTTCTAAACCCTAATCTTAAACCCCAACACTTTGCATTCCTGCCATTTTCCCCGGCCGTCACTCACAAGCGTTCCTGGCAGTTTCTCTCTCAGACTCCGCCGTCACTCAGTCTCCGCCGTCACTCAGAAGCATTCCTGGCAGTTTCTCTCTCAGTCTCCGCCGTCACTCAGAAGCGTTCCTGGCAGTTTCTCTCAGTCGCACTGACAGCATCGCTAGGTCAGTTCTCTTTTTCTGATTTGGCTTTCTTTGCACATACCTCACTTTTTCTTTTGATGTTCTTTGATGGATTGGATGTCTCTGATTGTTACCAAAACCATTGGCGGGGTTGGAGTGGATTTCCCCAACCCTCTTGTCTATTAATAATAAGAAAAACAATTCTATATGTATTTTTTGGCCCTACTGTTCATGGACTAAGCCAGTAACTAGTGTTTCTCTCCTGCCCTTGCGCCTTCTGCTTCTGTCACTCCTTATATTTCTCGTGTAAAACAAAAAGTTGTGATGTGGTTTAGCTGTGTTGATAGAGCCTGCTGAAAGCAGATTAACATGAAGTTAACAGGAAGTTAACAGGGCATGCATTTGCTAAGTTACAATACTATGAGAAAACTTGAATCTTATTTTGCAACCTATATTTTACTGATATTGGGCTTTCTGTATTAAAGGAAAAGCAAATTTGATTTTTTTTTGTTGATCCAATATGTTAGTTATTTGAATTGAGAGAAGGAAATTTTGATGTTCTTGTTGATATGATATGATACTATGAGTTGTTTATTTGTTATCATGCATATAATTATGTTAAGGGCTCTGTCTATAACATTATTTCTTAAATATGGTTTATCTGGCCCATTGATCCTAATCTTTGATGTCGATCTGAGAGCAATCTTCTGAGTGCCGCTCCACCTATTGGTTGTTGTGAAAGCTTTGTCCCTTAAATCTTAAATGATGTTCTGTTTTGGTTATAAATGCTTTATGGTAGTGTGATGGTATAAATTGAGTTTTTTTTTCCCCTTTTTAGTGCTTGTATAGGTTTAATGGCGATGCCTTTGGATAATGTTGATTCAATGATTGATGATGAAAGGGAAGATATGGGTGAAGAAATGTCATCATCTGAATCAGAGCAGGACGATGTAAGATTAGTTGAGCCATCTAAAAATGCAGTTTATAACAGAGATGCTATATTAGATAAACTTGGAGATATCAGTTGGCCAGAGAATGTGGAATGGATACACAAACTATCCATTGATCTTGATCTGGAGCAAGAAGTAGATGTCAATGATGATTTGGCACGAGAACTTGCATTTTATACACAGGCATTGGAGGGAACTAGGCAGGCCTTTGAGAAACTTCAGTCAATGGGTCTACCTTTTCTGAGACCTTCAGACTATTATGCTGAAATGGTAAAGACAGATGGACATATGGAAAAAGTTAAAGGTCGGCTATTAGCAGAGAAACGAAAGATGGAAGAGGCTGAAGAGAGAAGAAAGGCCAGGGAGGCCAAGAGATTGGCTAAAGAGATCCAGGCTCAGAAATTAAAAGAAAGGGCTAAGCAGAAGAAGGAAGATATAGAATCTGTTAAGAAATGGAGGAAGCAGAGGCAACAAAGTGGATTTTCTGACACTGGCAATGATGCAGATGCAGCTTTTGACTTTGAGGATGGAAAAGTATTTCAGAGGTCCAATAAGAAAAGACCAGGAGTGGCTCCAGGGGATAGGTCAGGAGGGAAGGCAAGGCAGGCGTTTGGTAAAGGAAAGAAACAAAAGAAAAGAGATATTAAGAATTCCAAATTTGGTTTTGGAGGCAAGAAGGGGTTGAAAAAGCAGAATACTGCTGACACCACCAATGACTACAGTAAATTCAAGAAGCGTGCTGTCTCCGAAAACAAGAAGAGAAAGAGGCAAAGACAATCTCTTTTTTGTTGTACGTCTTGAAGGAGCCAATGACCTGGGAATTTCATCTACTTTTTTAATTTTACATTTTGGATGGATTTGTTAACTTGATAAGCTTTATGGACATTAATTCTTAAATATCTACTTCAATTTTGACTATTTTGAATATTTGTTGTACTGCATAATTTATTTATTTGCTGTGATGCCAGAAACTGAGGGAATCCTACCATATGGATTCCATGGCTATTGACTTGAAAATTTATCATGCATATTAGTATAATTTTTTGTTTTTTTTTTGTCAACCATTATTTTTTTTAATTTTTATAAGAAAAATTATATTTTTTTGTAACTTTTTTAGATTTAGTTTGAATTTTAAAAATAGAATTTTGTCCCTTCCATTTGTAAAAGAAAAGGGAAAGTTAAAAATAGAATAGTATCACAAAATTATGAGTCATCCGGTTCTGGCATGTCAAAAGCGGAACTTGTTAGCTCATTATATAGGTTTTGATTTGTCTCGTCAAATTTTTTAATAAATTTAATAATAAAATTATTATTGTGGATAATTATATATATATATATATATATATATATATTTCAAGTTAATAATATCAATTAATATATTATTTTAATAAATTATATTAGAATAATTAAATTAAGATAAAATTTATATAATAATAAATACTATGTATGTAATAGTATAAGTTTATTAAATCTTTATTTTTTTATATTGAAAAGTTTAAACATTTAAATGAAAATTACATTATATTTGTTTATTTAATAAAATTTTATATTTTCTTTGAGTAATTCTTGCATCTTCCATTCAAAATAATAAATGTTTAAGATTATTAGATGCAGTTGTAGTATTGGAAGTTTTCTTTAGTTTTTCATTTTTGTCATTTTCTTTTTCATCTTCAATAATACACAAAATTGAAGAAAGAAAAAATTAGTAAAAAAAAGGATTATAAAAAATAAAAATAAATTTAATCTTATTCTCAATTTCATTTTCATTGATGACATCATCAAGATTACAAGTAGGTTTACTAATTAAATAATTCATTTCCTGTTTAAAATTAAAAAATAAACTTCATAATTTTTTCTTATTTAAAGATTTCAACAAAAGCATAAATAGAAAAACATAATAAATAAGTTGTGAGAGAGGAAAATACTAAGAGAAAAAAATGAAACCTTAAAAAAGTAACACAAATAAAAGAGAGTAAAAATGTATGAGATATATGAGACTTTTTGAATTCTCTTTATGAGAGACTTTTATAATTTTCTTTTCATAAATTTTTATATTATATATTTCCTTTCTCGACTCTTTGTATTGTATTATAATAAAAAAATTATTAGTAAAGTGGGTTGCGGTCGACCCACCCTGTCCCATGTCAGGCGGGTTGGCGGGATCGGGTCAAAACGGGTTGACAGGATGAAAGTACTAATCCGCTATGTTATATTATAATGGGATGGCGAACCGCCCGCTAGGTCCGACTTGTTTTGTCATCCCTACATAAAATGTATTTCAAATAAAAATAAAAATAAAAATAGACGTTGAATCAAAATTATCAAAACAATATGATATCAGTTGAATCAAGAAAATGTGATATTAACTATTATTTGTCAATAAAAACAACACTATAAAGTTTTTATTCCAAAGGAAAGTTTTTATGGTAAACAATTTTGATGATAGTCTTGCATGGTGAGAAGGTTTAGTTTATTTTTCAAGAAGACTAACTAAATCGCAAAACAAAGGAAATCATTTGGTTTGATTTCTATTCTTATTCTCGTCCTTATATAAATTGTTTAGTTACTTCTTATCGTTATAATAATATTTTAATTTTTAACGTTCGATCTTTAATAAATTTTGTAACTTATATTCGTAGAGGTAGATTTAAAACTTAATTATCTATGGAAAAGTAAGTCATGTTCATTTTAAACTTCGATTAGAGAATAACAAAAAAAATCCTCCAAAATTGGAAAAGAGTAAAAACAATTTTGTCGTGAAAATGGATTGGAGGAAGGTGGTATGAATCTCAGTAGCACAAAGGGTGATTTATGATCTTTAGTGGTTAGAACCTTGTAGGAAATTTAGGAATTTAATGATAAGGTGGAAGGAAAGAATCACTCGTCCCAAGGGAGGCAACTCACAAAGGATGTGAAAGTCCTTTGATACACTCTTATCAAGATAAAAGAGTTAAACTCTAATATTTTTAAATAAAATTTAACTTGTTATATTTGATAAAAATATGGTTCAAACCTATATAGAAGATTTGCTATCGAATTATAAAGATTCAATAAAGGAAAGTAAATTCTAATAATGATTTGTTAACCTAGGAATTAAAAAGTACTTAATGGAGACGAATAAAGGCTAATAATGATCAATTAGCCTAGAAATTGATACTACTTAATGACTAATTGTAACTGAAATTGTGACAACAAAAAATCAATCAACTATGCACCCTCTTGGTCTCCCAAAGACTGATGACTAAGTTTCCAATTGGACCCTTATTACAAATTGCAATAAAACTAAACTAAAGCTCATTAATTGATTAATCCAAAACACAATTTGTGAAGCACTTGGTGGATTTGATGAAGACATAGATATAACTTAGGTTGTGGGTGTGTAGATGATTAGGGTTTTAAGTTTAAGCACTTAATCTCTTGATAGGCCATTATATTTTGTGATAAGCACCTTAAAATGATGCATCTCATTGAAAATCATTTTTCTGCATGAAAAACTTACGTTTAAGTATTAAAAGAATTAACTAAGTTTTTTAATCTGTTGAAAAGGATTTTTCAATCTGTTAAAATCACTTAACATAATAAATGGTCATACATAATCGAAAATTCAATTGATTGATTCGCTAAATCAACAAGTTAAAATAACTCAATGAATTTTCAATATCAAGTTTCGCATTTTCAATCTGTGATCTGAAATGATTTTAAATCATGTTGAAATATTTTCAACGTAAGAGAGACTATTTTTTAAACTAAGTATTTGCAGGAATTTAATCTGTTGAAATGATTTTCAATCGATTGAAACAGAGTGCTGTCATTTTTCATTAAGTTGTTTTAATCCATTAAAACTCGAATCAATCGATTAAATGGAACTTTAAATGAAATCAATCGATTGAATCGATGTCTTAATCGATTAAAAGGAACTTTAAATGAAATCAATCGATTGAATCGATCTTTTAATCGATTGAAATAATACTCTAATCGATCATAGTTTTGTTCTAATCGATCATAACTCATTCTGATCGATCATAGTTTTATTCTGATCGATCATAACTCAGTCTAATCGATCATTCTTCTCGCTTTAATCGATCAGATTCTCTTCTAAACCTGTTTTATCGCTAACCAACTTATCTTTTGACTCTCTAAAACAGCTTTTAACAGATGAAACGTTCGCTTTTTCTGATTTACTCTATATATACAGATTTGATCCATCTTTTGAATATACAATACAATACACTACTTGAGAAAACTTGTGAAATCAATCTGTGAAATTTTCATACGTGACTTTCTCTCGCATTCAAGAATCTTTTTCATATCATAAGGTGTCGTGGATCGAATTGTGGTCATTCAAAGAGAGAAAGTGCTCGATAGAATTGGTTCTGACAATTAGAAACTTCAAGTCCAGGTTTATTCTTTTCATATTCTTTTGTAAAGTTTGATTGCGCAGGTTGGATTGTAATCCGCACTTGGTACAAGAATCGGATTTGGTTACTCGGGTGGTTTTCAAGATTCTGTCTTGTGGGTTTTGCAAGATAGTTCTTGGGGTAGATTGGTGAGTATCTACTCGGTTGTAATTTTCACTTGGTATTAGTGAAACTTGACTCGGTTTGTCAAGAACTCGGATGTAGCTCTGGATTAGAGTGAACCAAGATAAACTTGTGTGTTAATATTTTTCTTTCATCTCTTTTAATTTCTGTCTTTAATTGTACCGTGTTTAAATCAAATTACCTTTGCAAAGATTGAATAAAGATAACTCATTCTTCCAAAAGAAAGTAAGATTTGCGAAAAGTTTTAAAGTTCAATTCACCCCCTCTTGAACTCAACCATTAATTCTTTCAATTGGCATCGTAGCTGGTTCTTGTAAGTTACTCAAGGAATCGGTCCAATGGCCGAGGGAAAGATGAATTTTTTAGAAGGAGCCTCCATAAACAGGCCTCCACTTTTTTCTCGGTGTGAATTATTCTTTCCGGAAGGTTAGAATGAAAATCTTTATTGAATCTCTTGATAGAGGCATTTGGGAAACAATTGTTAATGGTCCTTATAAACCAACTCATACCGTAGATGGTAAAGTAGTCGAAAAAGATTGGGCTGAATTAACCGATGTAGAAAATAGGAAAGTCCAATATGATTATACTCGCAAAAAATATTATTACCTCTCGCTTTAAATCTTGATGAGTTTTTCAGTGGTGTCTCAAAGTGTGCCTCTGCCAAAGAGATGTGGGAAATTTTAGAGGTTACACATGAAGGAACGTCTCGATGTGAAAAGGGCAAGAAAGCATGAGTTAATCGGGGACTATGAGTTGTTTAAAATGCAAGCAAGGAGAAACAATTGTAGATGTGCGTAAAAGGTTCACGCACATAGTTAATCATCTAATCGAGTTAGGAAAGACTTTTGACAAAGAAGAGTTGAACATCAAAATTTTAAAGTGTTTGGACAGTAACATGGCAACCAAAGGTGACAAGAATATCGTAATCAAGAGACTTGATCGAAATGACTACCGCTTCACTTTTTGGTAAGTTGAGGGAACATGAGTTGGAAATCAATCTGGCTCAAAGAACAAGAGAATGCAGAAAAGAAAACTAGAAATATTGTTCTCAAGACAATTGAAGAAAACAATGGATCTCAAGAAGATGAATCGGAGAACCTCGACTTTATTGGTTAAGAAATTTGGAAAATTTCTTAGAAGAAAGAACATAATTGGCCAAGTAAAAAGGTACAATGATAAAAAGACTCGAATCTGTTCAAAATAATATTACTTGTTATTCTTGTGGTAAACAGTGGTCACATAAAGAGTGATTGTCCTGAA